CCCACCCAATCTTCTGCATATAAACCTACATTTTCCCAGCTACCATCAGTTCTGATGGAGGGTCACCGGACCCGAAAAATTAACTTTAATTTTCTCTTCACAGATGCTGCTGAGCTTTTCCAGCAACTTCTGTTTTTGTTCCTGATTTACAGCATCGGCAGTTCTTTCGGTTTTGATTAAATCTACTGTATTCACTGCTCACAATGCAGGTTCTTCATTACATTGGTGAAACCAAATGCCTATCAGGTGATCACTTTGCGGAACACTCCTGCTCCATCTGCAGGAATGGTCCCAACCTGCTAGTCACATGCCATTTCAAAGAGCCATCTTGCCCTCGTGTGCAAACATTTCGAACCTGAATCTGCTGCAGAGTTCCAGTGAGTTCCATCACAAGCTGGAGGCAAAGCACCTCATTCCCCACTTCAGTGCTTGAAGACTCAATATTGAGTTCAGTAGCTTCACAGCATGAACTCTGTCGTCTATTTTACTGAGGTGCCGTAGTTTACTGAGATTAATGCAAGTGAACTAATTATGAAGTGAATGAGTTAACTGAAGGAGTTGTTTGTCCCTCTTCTCTCTATATTCAGGCAGAGAAACTACTGAATAAGTTGAGATTGAATGATTCAGATGTGGCTGACCTTGTAAATCAGGGATTCACCACCTGGGAAGCTCGACTTGCCTTGCGGGCCACTATGGGCGACGTTGAGGAAGCCAAGGTGCACATTAATAAAAGAAGGGAGGTTAGTACTAATCATTCTTGCACATGAAGGCATTAGCACTTTGAGAAACAGAATGCAGAGGTCGATCATAGAATCAAAACAGTGCAGAAAGAGGCCATTTGGCCTATTGAGTCCACACTGAACCCACAAAGAGAATTCCTCCCAAACTCAACCCCGTACCCCTGCATTTCCCCATGGCTAATCCACCTAACCTGCAGGAGGAAACTCACATAGATATGGAGAGAACGTGCAAACTTCACACAGACAGTGGCCCGGGGGGGAATTAAACTCAGATCCCTGGTGCTGTGAGGCAGCAGTGCTAAACACTGAGCCACGGTGCTGCCCTAATCCTTTTTGAAATCATAAAGGTTGATCTTCATTTCTCCACCTGTCATGAACAGTATGTCTCAAATGGGATGCAGCTCCCAGCCCATGTATCTATTGGTGAGGCTATGCTGTGGTTGTGATTTGGTTGATGGCTCTCTTGCTTCTCTTCACCAAGAGGGCCTGAAGGCCTCCATCTCCAACAAATGATAACATGCCATGACTTGTGCACCTTCACTGCCAAAAGTGGGCTCAAAGTATCATTTAAACATACATCGGCCGGTGGAAAATTTCGGAGAGTGGCTCATTGGCGATGAGAATACCCTTTCTTCATTGCAATGTTGCTGCTAGTCATAGTCTCCTTGGAGATTGGAGCTAGAACTTTTGCATTTGGTAACTACTGCAAAAGGTTTCCTTCATGTAGACTCAGTTTGTTGAACGCTTGCTGTTCTACCAGGCCACACCTGGAGTACTGTGTGCCATTTTGGTCTCCTTACTTGAGAAGGGATATACTAGCACTGGAAGAGGTGCAGAGGAGATTCACTCGGTTGATTCCAGAGTTGAGAGGGTTGGATTATGAGGACAGACTGAGTAGACTGGGATTATACTCATTGGAATTCAGAAGAATGAGGGGAGATCTTATAGAAACATATAAGATTATGAAGGGAATAGATAAGGTGGAGGCAGGGAATTTGTTTCCGCTAGCAGGTGAAACTAGGACTCGGGGGCATAGCCTCAAAATAAAGGGAAGCTGATGTAGTACTGAGGTCAGGAGGAACTTCTTCACCCAAAAGGTTGTGAATCTGTGGAATTCCCTGCGCAGTGAAGTGGTTGAAGCTACCTCGCTGAATGTTTTTAAGGCAAGGCTAGATAAATTTTTGAACAGTAAAGGAATTAAGGGTTATGGTGTGCGGGCGGGTAAGTGGAGCTGAGTCTCAAAAAGATCAGCCATGATCTTATTGAATGTCGGGGCAGGCTCGAGGGGCTAGATGGCCTACTCCTGCTCCTAGTTCTTATGTTCTACGAGCCAGAAACTTTTACTAGTCACTGCTCATGTCAGCCACTCTTCTAGAGTTCTGTGTTCCTCCTACAACACGATAGCTGCATTCTTGTGCAGCCTCATGCTATAGAAAATTGCGCTATAGGGAAATCGCTATACTGTACGGCAAAAAGTTTGCGGTATCCAAACAGCGTCCACTATTCACCAATCACGTTACAGCCAATTCGCATTAACGAAACATGTGTTATAGCACAAATACCTGTAAACTCAAACAAACTAATCAACTTTTATTTCCCAATTTCAAGCAGAGGGCTCAGCAGCAAAGGAGAGAAGCAGACGAAAGAAGGCAGCGCCTCAGCACGCAGGCCACAGGGAGTAATACAGATGTGCCTGAGGAGAACAGGAGGTCTGATCAGGGAAACCAGGTAAAATTAAAGTCACAAGAGTGGATAGATTTACATGTTACACCGAGGTGACTAATTCCTTCGCAACTTTGATTTCGCAACAACAGTGACTTACTTTTATCTAGCGCCTCTTTGGTAGTAAAATGTGCTTCATAGGAGCGACGTCAGGTAATAATCGACAGCGAGCCACGGAATGCGATCAGAGGACGGGTGGCCATAACCTTGGTAAGTGCCTCTTAAAGAAGGATAGAGAGGTAGAGAGAGGATTCCAGATTTAGCTTCAGTGATGCTGAAGGTGTGCCCACCAATGAAGGGGTGACAGAAATGGGAGATGTACCACACTCGAGGTTTGGAGGCTGCAGCCGCTGAAGAGGTTTCGGGGATGGAGTGAGGTGCGGCCAGGGCTCCATGTGATATTGAACAGCTACAATATTCCTGGATTGTTGATGTTTGTAGCTTCCCAGATTGAGGCAGGTTGATTGTTGCTGCCTTCATTAATATGCAGCTTCCTATCCCAGTGGCTAATGGGAGGGCAGTAGACACTGACAATTCCTGACATGAAAGTCAGAGCAGGTACCTGGTGCCATTTATATGGCTAGTATTTATATGGTTAGTCCAGTTGAGTTTTTTTTTGTCATTGGTAACCCCCAGGATGTTGATAGTGTGGCAATGTTAAAGGGAGAAGCGTAAATTCTCCCTTTTGCTGGAGATGGTCTTTACTCAACGCAAACATTACTGACCACTTATCAGTTCAAGCTTCGATATAGTCCAGATCTTGCTGCATTTGAACATGGACTGTTTCAGTGTCGGAAGAGTCACAAACAGTACTGAACATTGTGCAATCATCAGCGTACATTCCCACTTCTGCCCTAATGATGGAGGGAAGGTCATTGATTAATTACAAGCGATTACACAAACTAAGTTTGTATTCTCTGGAATTTGGAAGGTTAAGATTTGATTTGATTGATGTTTTAAGATATTAAAAAGGGCTGATAAGAAATAACTTATATGTTCGTGGAAACTAAGATTGGGGCACAATCTAAAAATTAGAGACAGACCTTTAAGGAGTGAAATTAGGAAATACTTCTACGTACAAGATTTGTTGAGGCTGGGAACTCTTTTTTTGAAAGCGGTGATTCATGTGAGATCAATTGTTAATTTTAAATCTGAGATTGGTATAATTTTGCTTAACGTGTAAAAATGGTGCTGTAGTAATCTTGGGAGATTTTAATCTACATTCAGACTGGGCAAACCCATGTTATCAATTATAAATCGTGGATTAATTCCTGGAGTGTGTGCAAGATGATTTTTAGACCAGCGTATTAAGGAGTTAGCTGGGAAATGGGCTATCCTAGATTTCATATTGTGCAGTGAGGGCATTATTTATAGTCTTGTGGTGCAGAGTTACAGTCATGGAGTAACAGAGCTGTACAGACCCTTCGGTCCAACTCATCCCTGCCGACCAGATATCCTATATAAATCTAGTCCCATTTGCCAGCAATTGGCCCATATCCCTCTAAACCCTTCCCATTCATATACCCATCCAGATGTCTTTTAAATGTTGTAACTGTACTAGCCTCCACTACAGAGCAATTCAGAATGTAAATAGCCTGTTGGCCTTCATTGCAATGTGGTTTGACTACAGGAGCAAGCAAGTGTTATTGTAGCTGTAACTGTACAGCATCTTGGCAAGACCACACCTGGAATTTTGTGAATGGTTTTGGTCTCTTTATCCAGGGGAAAATATGCTTGTCATAGAGGGAGTGCATCTAATGTTCACCAGACTGATTTCAAGGATGGCAAGTTTGTCATATAAGGAGAAACTGGGTCAACCTGTATTTAGTGAAGTTTAAAAGAGTGAGAAGGGATTTTACTTCCCAAACTCTTATCTGTCGGTGAAATTCATATGCTAATAACATACCTATTCTGTAAATTTATTCAAACCTCCTTGTGATTATTGCAAATTCTCCTCAGGTTCCACCACTTGGTGTCATTCACAAGCTTAGAACTTCCTGAGATTCCCTTCCTAACAACATTGTCTGTACTGACACCACATGGATTGCAGCAATTCCAAACAGTGGTTTTCTGCCAGTTCCTCAAGGGTAACTAAAGATGGAAAATAAATCCGGCACGGTGGCTCAGTGGTTAGCACTGCTGCATCACAGCACCAGGGACCCAGGTTCAATTCCAGTCTTCGGCAACTGTTAGTGTGGAGTTTACACATTGCCTATGTGGGTTTCCTCTGGGTGCTCTGGTTTCTTCCCACAGTCCAAGGATGTGCAGGTTAGGTGGATTGGCCATGCTAAATTGTCCACAGTATCCAGGGGTGTGCAGGCTTGGTGGATTAGCCATGGGAAGTAGGAGGTGATGGGTCTAGGTCGATGCTCTTCAGAAAGTCAGTGTGGACTTGACGGGCCAAATGACCTGTTTTCACACTGTAGGCATTCTATGATCTAGAATTCTGATGGGACTGGACAGTCTGGATGTGGGGCTGTCTGAGGGACTACAGCAAAAAGAACATAAGAACTAGGAGCAGGAGTAGGCCGTCTGGCCCTTCGAGCCTGCTCTGCCATTCAATAAGATCATGGCTGATCTTTTCGTGGACTCAGATCCACTTACCCACGTTCTCACCGTATCCCTTAATTCCTTTATTGTTCAAAAAAAACCTACATTTTTAAAAAAAAAATTTACTGAAGGAGCGTCAACTACTTCACTGGGCAAGGAATTCCATAGATTAACAACCCTCTGAGTGAAGAAATTCCTTCTCAATTCAGTCCTAAATCTGCTCCCTCTAATCTTGAGGCTATGCCCTCTTGTCCTAGCTTCACCTGCCAGTGGAAACATCCTTTCTACTTCGATCTTATCTATTCCCTTCATAATTTTATATGTTTCTATAAGATCCCCCCTCAATCTTCTGAATTCCAAAAGCCATGGTCTCAGGCTATGGGGTAAGCCATTTAGGACTGAGATCAGGAAATATATCGTCACACAAAGGGTGGTCAACCTGTGGAATTCTCTACCACATGAGGCTGTGGAGGCCAAGTCACTGAACGTATCTGAAAAAGAAACAGATTTCTAGACTCTGCAGGCATCAAGGGATATAGGGAGAGATTAGATGTATGGTGTTGAGATAAAGGATCAGCCAAGATCACATTGAATGGTACATCAGGCTTGATGGGCCAAATCGCCTATTCCTGCTCCTATTTCTATGCTTTTAAGATTTTAGGGGATATGAGACAAAAATAAGTTAGATTGCAGATCAGTCATAATCTCATTGAATGAGAGAACAGGCTTAAGGAGCTAATTATCTACCCCTGTTCCTAAAAATAAGAATTAACATTGCTATTAGTATGCCCTCACTTTAGAAACAATTACATAGCCATCTTCTGAATGTATGTTTTGTGTTTATGTCCAGAATTCACTTATGAACACAAATCCTCCACTGACTGCGGATACAGTAACAACGCCAACTCCGGGTGAAAACTCATCTTCAGCCTCACCAGATCCTTCCTCTCCATCTCCAGGTAAGAAAGCAAAAGTGAAAAAGTAACTCTGCAAAAAATTACAGCCTGTGGTGTAACTGAGAGCCACAGAAGGGACTTTGCGCGTTTGTCTTTCTTAATTGCCCTCGTGCTAGGGACAGAGCTACGTTTTCATGTAATTAGAGTCACTCCTCCTTACTGACATCACATCCCACACGGGGAGTATCAGTACCTGTCTCGTGGGCTCAATAGGCTCGAACCTAAGGAGCTCCAGCTATCCTGTGTACTTTCTGTTTAGTTTCCTAAATCAGATGGATGGCAGATTCAGTGAAATCCTTAGCAGAAATAGCAGTGCAAAGACCACCTTCCTGAGTACTCAGACCATCCAGGCACTTGTATCAGAGAGAACTTGCAACAGTCCCTCACATTTACTAAGCATTTTCAAATTCAGCGATAAATACACTTAAAAAGTTAGACAAACAAGACAGAGCACAGGAATAATGGGATATGCTGGTAAGAGTACAATTAAATGGGAGGAGGTTCACATTGAAATGATATAAATCCATTGAGCCTGTCCCTGTATTGCAAAATTCGGTCTAATTCCAGTTCCATTTCAATAGCCTACACCATTCAAGTGGATTAGCTTTGTCTGCACATGCTTATCTCATTCCTTCTGCTGAAGATCAAATCTCTCTTTTAATTATACATCTTGTGCCTTGGCCTTTTTAAAACGCGCTAATGGTTGCACTTCAGTTCAGCGTGAAGAGAAGTTATCATTTAGGATGACAGGTCAAACCATCTGCCTTTTCCCAGGACACAATCTGAAGAAGTGCAGGGAGTTTTCCCTGGTTCTCTGACGAATACTCCACAGCGTCATGATAGCTCAGTGGTTAGCACTGCTGCCTCACAGCACCAGGGCCCAGGGCTCAATTCCACTGTTGGGTGACTGTCTGTTTGGATTGCCTGTGCTTCTCCCCCTATCTGTGTGGGTTTCCTCTCACGGTTGAAGATGTGCAGATTAGGTGATTTAGCCATGGAGAGTGCAGGGTTATAGGGTAGTGTGGTGGGTCTGGGTGGGATGCTCTTTGGACAGTTGGTGTGGATTCAATGGGCAGAATGGCCTGCTTTCACTCTGTAGGGATTCTATTAAAAAAAACTGATCCCTCAACTGACACTGCCTACGCAAACAAATGAATCATTTTCACACTGTTGGTCCTGGGATGTTGCTGTATGCAAATGAATTGCACATCTCCCCAAAGCACAACAATATGCTCCTCAAAACGTTTAATCGATTGTTAAGCACTTTGGGATGAGGATGTGAAGGGTGCTATATAAATACACTTGTATAGGTCTTTCTTTAACAAGTGGATGCTTACATTTGTTTCTTTCTTATCAGGTGCCCAAGGCAGCTCTGAGGATGATGATGTTCTTCAAGAAATCCTGGCATTACTGCCTGAGGATAAAGACGACTACATCAATGTGACCTTGGAGGAAGAGGAAGCTGTCATCCTTGAGTATAAGGCCAAACTCACTAAACAAAGCAAGGTGGAGGAAGCGGCCCCATCTACCCCAAAGAAGGAAAAGACTGAGCCAGAGGCTGATGCTCCCCCACGAGATACCGAGATCTGAACCTGACCCACAGCAGTCTCTGATGAGCAGCATTCCCCTATTTCCCACCTATGTGCAGAAGAGTGAATATGCACAGCTTAATATAACTTGTGCACAGCCTGCTTGTCCCCTGCTCTGAAAAATTCCAATTGCTATGTGTCACTGAGCCCAGAGATAACATTGCTGATGACCAGCCAACATGTATGAGTCCAAACCTCATTTAGACGCCACCACAAACAGACAAACATGGCCCCACCGATAATCTAGATGAACTGCAAAAGTGACAAGAGGCTGTACACACACCCGTACTATCACCTTCACCTCATTTCACCATCACTCCATTACTTTGCACACCCTATTTTCTCAGGAACACGTGACCCTCATGATTTTACTTCCCAAACTCTTATCTGTCGGTGAAATTCATATGCTAATAACATACCTATTCTGTAAATTTATTCAAACCTCCTTGTGATTATCGCAAATTCTCCTCAGGTTCCACCACTTGGTGTCATTCACAAGTTTAGAACTTCCTGAGATTCCCTTCCTAATAGCATTGTCTGTACTGACACCAGATGGATTCCAAACAGTGGCTCTCTGCCAGTTCCTCAAGGGTAACGAAAGATGGACAATAAATGTGGGTCTTGCTACCACTACCACATCTGGCTGAAGAGTGTAAAACAAAAATACACCTGCTCTGGCATGGCACGGTGGCTCAGTGGTTAGCACCACCAGGGACCCGGGTTTGATTCCACCCTCCGGCGATGGTCTGTGTGCAGTTTGCACATTCTCCCTGTGTCTGTATAGTTTTCCTCCAGGTGTTCTGGTTTCCTCCCAAGGTTCAAAGATGAGCAGGTTAGGTGGACTGGCCATGCTAAATTGCCCATAGTGTCCAGGGATGTGCAGACTTGGTGGATTAGCCATGGGAAAGGCGGGATTACAGGGATAGGTTGGGGGTGTGGGTCTGGGTGTTTGCTCTTCAGCGAGTCAATGTAGATTTGATGGGCCAAATGGCCTGATGCTACACTATAGGGATTGCTGATTCTGGTTTACCATTGTCACTCTAGTTGGCTTCACATCACCAACAGTTTTGCCACTCAATCTCGCCCATCTTCAGTCTTATGAAAGACCTTCCCATTATACCTTTTCTCCATCCTCACCCTTTCATGTGCTTCAAATTGATTTCATTTCTAGCTTTTTCCCAGGTCTGATGTCATCAACCTGAAATGTCGAGCCTGTTTCTCTCTGCAGAGATGCAAGCTGCCTAAGCGTTTCCAGCATTTCCACAATTTTATTTCCAATCTCCAGCATCAGCATTCTTTTTATTTACTTTTCTATTAATGACATTTTATTAATGCCATTTGGATGTCCATACCCTGCAATACCCTTATTAACACGATCTCTCACCTCAACAGAAAAACACTCAAGTTAGTTAGACATGATCCAACAATCTGCACAGGTTTTTATTAATTAATCCACCCTAGTCTAGATTATCATCTTGCCCCCCTCCACCAAGACTAAATTAGCCTGTATTTGCTGGGTTTATCATTACATACGTGTTAGAATAAGGGTGTAACATTTGCAATTCTGTACTTTTCTGGCACCATTCTGATATCAAAGGAAGTTTGGAAGATTATAGCCAATTCCTCCTTAATTTTCCTAATGGTTCACTCTAATTTCCAAATATCAAGTCACCTTGGACTGTTGTCACACACACACACACACACAAACACGGACACATGCGCAAACACGCACATGATAAAAAATACAGACACGTTCACAGACACACATAAATTCACAAATACGCATGCTCACAAATGCACACACTCATAGACACGCTCACAAACACGCATGCACTCACAAATATGCTCACAATTAAACACACACACACACTCACAAACACACAAATTTTCACAGACACACACGTACTCGCAAACACACACTCAAACACACACACAAACGTACACCCACACACAAACCCCACCCATACACGCACATGCACACATACCCACACACACACTCACACACACACACAATCTTCTTCCTCTGCTATTAGTGAACCACCCTTAACACTCAGATTGTATACTTTTCCTGTCTATTTAACTGATGTATCATTTCAAAAGCTGCTGCTTCCTAATAAACTTTAATAAACGGTTTTAAAATGACTCATGAATAGTCGGTTGGCTGGCTGGGGTAACTTTGCTCCCCAGATCCAGAATTTTACAGAACTCAGTTCAGGATTTGTGTTTGGGCTGGAGTCCCTCGCAACACAGCGAATAGCTTCCTAACAACACAATGCTAGTACCAGTGTGAAACCGAGCTATGTACAGTGATTTGATCATAATTACAATTCTCTGGCTGCTATCAAAAACATAGCAGTGATTCCTATCAAATCCCATCAATGATACAGTCCGCCTGACCCAAATGTAGAGAATTGTAAAGGGGGAAGTGGTGAGGAACAGGGAAGAAACTGCATATCTCCCTTCATGGGAAGTAACACTGAATAAAGCCTTCTCTTCCACAGTCCTACAAACGCTTCTTTTAATCCAGATATCTTGATTCTGTTAATGAATGTTGTTGCTGATTGTACCTTGACCAGCCTTTCAGACAGTGAGGATATTTTGGTGAGCTGTGTTTGAGATTGTAAACAGAGAAACAGGGTATTTCTTCCAAGTGGTCCTCAGGCGACAGAGACAGGATTACCAGATAAAGAAATTAAGTACACCACTTTAAACAGACACCCAAGAGTGGTGGTACTATTCCTTCTTGGTGACTGTAATGAATCAGTCCTTTTTGGAAAGCCTGCATCAGATTTTTTTTGTTCACTCATGAGATGTGGGTGTCGTTAGCCAGGCCAGCACTTATTGCCCATCCCTAATTGCCCAGAGGGCAGTTAAGAGTCAAACACATTGCTAGAATTGTGAGACAACAAGGTGCAGGGCTGGATGAACACAGCAGGCCAAGCAGCATCATAGGAGCAGAGAGGCTGACGTTTCGGGCCTAGACCCTTCATCAGAAAAGGGGGAGGGGAAGGGGGTTTGAAATAAATAGGGAGAGAGTGGGAGGCGGATAGAAGAGGGAGAGAGGAGAGGATAGGTGGAGAGGAAACAAACAGGTCGAAGAGGCGGGGATGGGGCCAGGAAAGGTGAGTGTAGGTAGGGAGTTAGGAAGGGGATAGGTCAGTCCAGGGAGGACGGACAGGTCAAGGGGGCGGGATGAGGTTGGTCGGTAGGAGATGGAGGTGCGGCTTGAGGTGGGAGGAGGGGATAGGTGGGAGGAAGAACAGGTTAGGGAGGCAGGGACGAGCTGGACTGGTTTTGGGATGCGGTGGGGGGAGGGGAGATTTTGAAACTTGTGAAATCCACATTGATACCATTGGGCTGCAGGCTAGAATGGTGTAGGTTAGACCAGGTAAGGACAGCAGATTCCTTCCCTAAAGCACATTAATTAACCTTTTACAGCAATCAACAATGATTTCACAGTCATCATTACACTTAATTCCAGATTTTTATTGAATTCAGATCCCATTTGGGATTCAAGCTCAGGTCCCCAGAACATTGCCTGAATTTCTGGATTAATAGTCCAGGAATAATGCCAGCAGACCATCCTCTCCCATCAATATTATGTAACCAAATGTAAGCCAATGTTCAGGGTTTAATCATCAATGGATTTTCTGAAGAGGTTAGTGGTTTGTGATGACACTTGTCCCTCAATGTTTACACCCTGACAGAACCTCAGCACAGCCTGGTGACTGCTCCAGTGCAGATGGTCACACCTTCATTCCTGGTCATCTGTAGCTGAGCTGGGAGCCCTTGCAACTCCAAGCAAGAAAGTTGTGAATTCACGACTAACACCAGAATACTGAAAACAAAATCCAGGGCGTGAAGTGCTTTGGGATGTTTCTGTATAAATACTACAATTACTTTCATTTGTATAGAACCTTTGATGAAGGAAATTGGACGAAACCATTCCTCTGGATGGCTGTTAAGTTTGAGACTGAGTTTATTTGGAGTTTAATTTGGATAAATGCAAGGCATTACATTTTGGTAAAATAAACAAAGGCAGGACTTGTACAATCAAAAGTAGGGCCTTCGGTAGTGTCTTAGAATAGAGAGACCTGGAGTCTCAAGTACAAACATCTTTGAAGTTTGCATCACGTAGACAAGGTGGTTAAGAAGGCATTTAGCACACTGGTCTTCATTGCTCAGACTTTTGAGTTGGGACATCATGTTGCAGTTGTACAGGACATAGGGGAGGTCTCTTCTGGAGTGCTATGTCCAGTTCTGGTGTCCCTGTTATAGAAAGGATATTATTAAGCTGGAGAGGGTTCAGAAGAGATATAACAAGATGTTGCCAGGAATGGAGGGTGTGAGTTATGAAGATAGGCTGGATAGGCTGGGGCTTTTTTCACTGAAGTGTGGGAGGTTGAAGGGTGACCTTCTAGAGATTTATAAAGTCATGAGGGGCATAGATAAGGTGAATAGCAGTTTTCTTTTCTCCAGGGTGGGGGATTTCAAGACTAGGGGGCATATTTTTAAGGTGAGAGGAGACAGGTTCAAAAAAAAAATGAGGGGCTGTTTTTTACACAGAGAGAGGTTTGTGTATGGAATGAACTTTCAGGGGAAGTGGTAACGGTATTACAATTGAGTAAAGATAGCTACAAAGACAGGACGAAGGTGTTGGCCAGAGTTGATTGGAAAGGGAGCAGAGCAGGGAAGATGGTGGAGCAATGACAGGAGATTTTGGGGGTGATTCAGGAGGCACAGCAGAAATTCATCTCAAGGAAGAAGAAATATACTAGGGAGAGGATGAGGCAACTATGGCTGACAAGGGAAGTCGGGGCGGCATGAAAGCAATTGCATACAATGTGGTGAAGATTAGTGGGAAGCCAGAGGATTGGAATGCCTTTAAAAAACTGCAGAGGATAACAAAAACAGCAATATGAGGGTTGGAGGGGGGGGAAGAAGATGAAATATGAGGGTAAACTAGCTAGTAATATAAAAGAAGACTATAAGAGATTTTTTTAAGCTATCTGAAAGGTAAGAGGGAGGCAAGAGTGGACATTGGACTGCTGGAAAATGAGCTTGGAGAAGTAGTAATGGGGAACAAAGAAATGGCAGAGGAACTGAATAGTTACTTTGCATCAGTTATCACAGTGGAAGACATCAGCAGCATACAGGAACTTGAAGACAGTCAAGGGGCAGAGGTGGGTGTAGTGGCCATCACTAAGGAGAAGGTGCTGGAGAAGCTGAAAGGTCTGAAGGTGGATAAATCACTCTGGCCAGATGGATTACACTCCAGGGTTCCAAAGGAAAGAGCTAAGGAGATTGTGAAGGCATTGATGATGATCTTTCAGGAACCACTGGAGTCAAGTAAGGTCCCAAAAGACTGGAAAATGGCTAAACATCCCTGTTTAGGAAGAGAAGGTCACAGAAGATGGAAAATTTTAGGCCTGTTAGCCTTACATCAATCGTCGGTAAGATTTCAGAGTCCATTATTAAAGATGAGATTGCAGTGTGCTTGGAAGTGCACAGTAAAATAGGGCTGAGTTAGCATGGCTTCATCAAGGGGAGGTCATACCTGACAAATCTTATAGAATTATTTGAGGAGGTAATGAGCAAGTTAGACAAAGGAGAGCCAGTGGATATGATCTATTTAGATTTCCAGAAGGCCTTTGACAAAGTGCTGCACAGGAGGCTGCTAAATAAGATAACAGCCTGTGGTGTTCAGGGCAA